TACTTACCTGCCGCACTGCAACATAAATATTCTATTTGGGATGACCCTTGGCTGACTGTACAACCAGTCAGCAAAGAGAATCCTTTCCATGAATAAAAAGTTCAAATGTATTTGAAAATGACAGTCTCAGGCTATAACACACTGATGGTCGTTATGAGATCAGCAGGCTGTTATTCTGCGATCACATCCCAGCTGGAATCTATCGACAACCAACCTATTTAGGAACTATCAGAATTTAAAAAATCACATTCTGTTTAACTGATTTACTGTATAGAATTATCTTACAAAATACAAATATTTCAAATAACTTGAATTTACCACAGAAGTAAAGCCCACAATATTTTAGTATACCCATTTCCTTTTAAGCACATTGTTTCTTTTTCTATCGTATCTCGTATACACACAAAGAGGGTGTTTAAAGAGACTTTAAAAGGCTTTGAAATTGAATTATTAAATTAAAATTAGCATACAATGAATTGAAACAATTGTTATTTCCCTAAGTGATACTTTCCTTTTCCTCTGAAAATGTTTCATTACTTTCTCACTTTATAAAATAAGTATGAAGATCAGAAATAATTGCACACAATCAAAAAACAAGAGCATGTCTTTTGAATGACAGACAAGGCCAGTGTCTGTGTTCAAAAGATCAGTTGTATCTAGGTTACCAAAACCTGATGGCATGGAAAAACAAAACAAAACACAAACAAAGCAGTGCATAAAAGCTAAGTCAGCAAGAATTCAGGCAGGTTTACCTGACAGTAGCATTGGGTCTTTGTCAACAGATTTGCGGACTTGGTCTGACTCTCCAGTTAAAGAGCTTTCATCAATTTTAAGATCATTTCCTTGAATAAATATCCCATCGGCCGGTAGAAGATCACCTTTCAGTAAGAACATGGTAATGGAAAACCACAGTGGTTTAGTAACATTGTTTTTATAATTACATAATGATTTTTATTATAAAATCACAATTAACAACAATTGCATTAAAATGTAAAATGAAAGCAAAGTGAAAGAACTACTACCCTATCGGTCCATATTAGCCATATTATTGCAATCCTATAGGGAAGGGCCTTTGTCTTGCAAATATTTTTTGCCTAATGCTATCCCAGAATCCAAATGCATCACATTTAACATACGACGAACACAATAATCACTGAGATTTGGCAGGGGGAGTGCTCTTCTTAACATGGCATTAAGGTTTCTGCATCAGACTTCATAGGAATTAACAGTGGCTAATAAACAGTCAAGCTGCCCTTTCCCCTTCCCCTCCCAGGAAGCCCTTAGCTAAGTCCAGGAGAAACTCGATGGCTGATAGAACAGGCGTTTTGCTGGAATTCGCCGGCTCAGTCAAACACAGAGCTCCTGCAAAAGTCTTCCTGTTCACTGGAGCATAGGGCTTTCCCTATGGCATATAATTATAAGGCATCTGGAAGCATCCAGTCTGGGGGGACTTACAGGATCCATAGCTCTGGAGCAGCCTACCAAATGGGGTGAGCACAGAGGCACAACTCCCTTTCACAGAGCATTTAAAAATATTTCTTCTTATTCCTAACCGGACAGAAATGAAAAATTCCAAATAGTGTAATCCTCCATGAAAAAGAATTACCTTTGCATGAACAGTTCCTGTCCTTGTCAGTGAAAGGAAGTGAAGATTACAAAAATAAAATTAATTACCTAGTGCAAGTTTATAGCAAGTATCTTAGGTTTTCCTTTTGCCCTAACAGCCAAATTGTTACCTTACCACGGACAACAATGACACCACGTAATTCTCTGTCTTTTAAATCACTTCCAGTGAAGTGAGTCTATTCTGCTAGAAAGGGAAAGGAGAATAAATAAAGTTCAGAAAAGTAGACAGTTGACGGAACTTACCATATTTCACCTGTGCAATGTCACCAACTACTATCTCCGCCACTGGGATCTGGATAACCTGTCCACCTCGGACAACAGTAAATTTCTGCTCCTGCTCAATACGACTTTGAAGCCCACGAAATTGCTTCTCCTTGCTCCAGTCATTGAAGGCAGTGACAAGTACAACACAGATAACAGAGAGTAGGATGGCAGCACCTTCAATCCAGCCAGCTTCAGCCTCACCTTCATCTTCAGCTCCTCCTGTTGCAGTACCACAACCTGCCAAGACAACATTAAGAACCATTCAGTCAAGCGAAGATCAGGTTTATCATGTTTATCACAAGCAGAAAAACTTCTTGTGAAATGACAACAAGGTTAGAACTACTTTTCGAAGTACTGTCTGCTAAATGAAACATGGCAGAATAAAGTAGAAATAAAGATGTCTGAAGAACAGAGAAGAACAAATCAATAGAAATTTTCGATCTTTTAATTTTTCTACTGAACAAGCTATCCTTGGTAAACCCAAACTAAGCAAACAGGAAAAGAAGGCACCAATTCTGTTATCTAATAGAAGGGTTGATAACTTCACCTGAGCCATCAAGCATTTCCAGAAACAAGGAGGACTCACTAAGAGTGGCAAGAAGGACTAAAACAATGAGTAACATCAATCAATTGAAAGCAATGATATTAAATTAAGATTAAAGAAAACAGATTAAATTAAAACAGGTTTAAGAAACAATTTTCAATACAATTTCTAAATGTTCTCAACTAAACACACTTATAAGGAACACTTGTTTAAAGAATACTGAGATGAACTAAGTATATTAGTATTTAAATGTGATAATGAAATGTATTAAGGAACACTGAGTAAAAATAATAGCCTAATATTAATTCATCATTCTTCCTTGCACAGAAATATAGTGGTATGCTTATACAATGCTATTATTTTTATCACAAGTAAAACAGTATTAAAAAAATACATTCTATGTATTAATTCTGAAGTGTTAATTCTAAATTTTTATACACATCTGCTAATTATTTATTTCAGTCATATGCATTAAAATTTAAATAAATTTCCTAGATAGTATTCACAAAATAAAACCAATAGCTCTCCTTCTTAATGAAATAAGACATAAAAAAAGATAGTTTATAATAGTGGACAGCAAAGTACAGATACTAGAATTGCACAATTCAGAGATATCCCAACTGACAGGAGAGAAAAAAAGAACTCAGTCTGAACAATAGAGCCTCCTCTCCCGAGTGACCAAGGGAGAAAAGAAATGTTTTAATTTTTCATGAAGAACTGAACTAGGTAGGCATTTGACATCACTTTTCCATCTTACCCAGGTACCAGGGAGTTCAGCAACTTAGCAACCGTGTTGCTTCCATCTATGACTGAAGTTTAATTTTGGTATATTCATCACCTGTCACTAGAGGGAATTAACAAGCAATTCGATTTCTATCTTTAAGTTACAAAGATTTCCCTGTAACATAAGCATCATAATTCATTAACCAGCTGAGTAATTACTCTGGCATATGAACAGTAACAAAATTACCAAAAGTCAAAGGACGAAAGATGAGACTGAACCTCCAATAAGTGAACAGAAGAAAATTAAAATAAATGGAGTTTTTACCAATGTTCTCTGTAGTTTAAATTTGGACTTAAGCTAATTGAAAGGCAAAGCACACTCCCGAGAGAAGGAGCCTTCCTAGCAGGGATGTCCTTAGACCTATGATCCATGTGAACCTTTATCTGCAGTACAAGACCCTTGCTAAAGAAACCATTTTTATAGCACCCAAGAAAGAAATTAAGTAACCTTTTCTAAGTTCAGTACCTTACACTACTTAAAACCAGTCACAAATTCAACTTACAAACCACATCTTCAATTTCTTTCTTTGGCAGGACATTACTTTTGGGAAGAACTAATGAACTTTCCTCTGTTTAACCTTAATCATCTTCATTGGTCTATGTTAGACTTTAGATTCCTTTTCCAAATCAGTAGATTCACTTTTGCCTTGTTTGGATTAAGTGCTTTTCTAGTACAAGTAATTCTGTTTTGGCAAATATAAGACAAAGATTCACTACTCATTTTTCATTAGATATGATTTAGAATTAAGCATCATGAATACCCTATTCTTTTTAACAGCATACCTCCGCTCCTATTTCTCATAAAAGAAACATGGCCTGGTCTAGCCACAGACAAAGACTGATTTTATTTCCTTTTTAGATGGTTGAAATTTAGTCTAGCTTGTACAAAAGTACAAGCAGGTGTTGTTTCCTACGGTGATCCCCTGGTCCAGGTTAACTGATAACAGTAACGTGCAGATTGACCCATAGAGGCGGGCAGCTCAGCTCCTTCAGTGGTTTTAGGCATTTCCACTGGGGTGATATTTATTTACTTTATTCTGTAGCATGCCTTCTTTGGCTTTCACTGAAAATCTTTGATTTCTGCATACGGATTACTGATCATGTATACTGTGGTATTTTCTACAAAATCAAGAATTAACATTATGTAATACTTAAATACAAGTTTTTAATTTGAGCTATATCAGCATACCCCAAAAAATCAGCCATTTGAAAGACACAAGCTGTGCTTTGTCCTTCACTGTAAGAATCCCATTATGGCTCTGAACATGTGTAAACTTTATAGTAATATTAGGTGAGCAGAATATCCTCTCTCTACAGCAGAAAGCTACCAGTTTTGAGAAAGTCATTGCTATTATTCCAAAGAACCAATAGGTCTGGTCACTGCCTCCGAGATGTGCTGGAGAAACAAAAACGACAGCTAGTCAGTGCACTCGAACCCAGTGCTAGCACACTGTACCTTGAATGGCTTGGAGAGTAACATTTCTGTGTCCCTTCAGGAACAAAACCAAACTTCTTGACTCAGTAAAAACAGGTCAAAAATAAAACTATTCATTGATTTGAGTAATGAAATTAATTTTGTGAGTATGTGTTGTCAGAATTAATCTCCATGTTAATATAAACAACACCATTCCTTGTATGTTCACATAACCAGAAAAAATAGTCTAACATAGCATGTAAATAATACAAGATGTTACCATTAAGATGAAAGGAATTGTGTTTACCTGTCTCATAGATTATGCACAAGCAAAGAACATAATTCACTCTTCATATTACAGCTGAAAAAATGTTTGTAGGAATGAAAGAAAATCTGGAGAAAACAGACTGAACTTAGATCAAGTTCTTGGAAAGTGTCCCTAAATTTGACAAGCTTCCGCACTGAATAACAATTCATGATTTTAACTTTTAAAATCCTGAGAAAATTCTCCATAACCCAATGGAAACAACAAAAGTTCAAATGCATTTCATTTATTTTCTCTTCATTCAATCAGACAATGCTAAATTCAGATGGAGAAAAGGTATGTGAAGGAGAGGAAGGAATTCTTGGAGTGAGAGCCAGGAGCAGAGAAATTAATTGATAGACATGGTCAAAACCAGAAGTTAGTCCTTTAGAAGGATGGAAGAAATGGTGAGTTGTTTTATGGACTTTAGAATCCTTATTAGTCGAGATTCAATCTGGCTTCTATAAAACTGCAAGTGTTGCTTCTTACAGTGACCCGTTGGCCCAGGTTCTCTGACACACTAAGAGGTAAATTCACCCATAGAGGTGGACAGGTAGCGTGAAGCAGACAGCTCACATTGTTTTTATTCAATATGACTCAAAATTAAAACAGTCAACCAGGATATGGGAGACACAAATTCTTTTTTTTGACCTCTCTCTCAAAGGATCAGAACTCAGGACCACGATTTTAGAGACCACAAAAAGGTTGACAGTACACAAATGGGAATCTTACTCACTGCCCTGCAGATGCCCAGCCTGCAGGCTGGCCGACCATGTCCTCTCCTAAGCATCATGAACACGTGTGTTCCTGTCTGCTCTAGCTGATTCCCTCGTTTAATCCCACATGTCAGATGAATGGTGGTCCTAAACTATCAGAAAAAAAGCTTCATTATCAGTATGTTTCAGGTTAGGAGGAAGCAGAATTTCAGCTATGTAAGGAGTTCGAACATAAAGGACTAGATATCTCCAAGTTGAAGCAGCAGCTGAGGAAGGCTTTTGAATATCTAAGATTTCCAGGTAGATACTTGTAACAACAGTTCGGAAATGAAATTGCACTTTTTTTTGGATCTAGCCTAATATAACTAAAACCAGGCTCTTTAAAAGTTCTTACAATAGTAAGATTTCAGAACAACTTTTTTTTAGACAGAGATTTACAGACAAGCAGGATTTAAAAATGCAACCTGCCCTTCAAGAGATGATCTCTCTGTCAGGAAACATTTTCTTGAACTATGCTGTGTTCTTGCATCAAAACTATTTTAGAAGTAGTCCCTTTTAATGGGGGGGGGGGGGGGGGGCAGGGGGGTGGGTTGCATCTCTATTGGTATAAGTTTGTAGAATTCTTTCTTATATACTTAAGGAAAAACAATTTTTTTTTCTTTTTCTTCTGCCATTGTATCACACAGGATTTTCTAGAAATTCTAGAAAGACTTATATGAATTTACAGGAAGAAACTGTATGTATTCATAGGAGAAAAAAACCGCATACTTAATTGTACACTTATACTATCTGTCCTTATTGTAGTACACAGAGTGACACAGTAATGACTTTACAGATAAAGGGAAAATAAGGAATATAAATAAGACACACAAAAGACGTAATAATAATATGCTTAAGTAGCAAAATACAGTTTAAAGCATCTAATGTTTGTTAAGAATGCTCCTATAAGCTTTAAAAAATTGTGTTAAGGTCTAAGATTGATGTTATGCTTTCACAATATAGTACTTGGTTCCCAACGTTACCGAAAAATATGCCTGCGATTTTATTGAAAGCATCACAAAAGAATTTTTAATATGCTTATCTGGTTTGTGGTAGGGTTTTATTCCAAGACAGTGAATTGTGAAGCACTCATGTAAAATTATATTTAACATAGGTCCTATCTGTCAGAAAATTCAATTTCAAAAAAGTAAACAAGTTTTTAATATGAAGCTATTTTCTACCATAGCTATGAACACACGCCATGTGTGTGTCATTCCTCAAGGTCTCATCTTCATGAGACAAAAAATGCGTACTCAGTTTGAAACTGAGATTAGAAAGATTTGACTGCAAGTCAAGAATGTAAAGGGCCGTAACTCCTTTGGCATAGAAAAAGAGGATGAAGCCAGAAAATGGATTAGCTTATTCAAAAAGAGTGTACAGGAACATACAGGTGAGCCGAACCGCCCCACAGAGGAGTGGGAGGACCTGACAGTGCGG